AAGTTGTTGAATTTTGCAACATTTGGCTAACCATAGTCGTCCCCTCACGATCATTATTTTACAGTTACTGCGTCTTGGGTTTGCATAACTTTCGATAATTCTCCTGACCCCCTAAGTGTTTAGATGAAGCTATGCAAACACAGAAAAATTTCTGTATTGCTTTTAAAAAATATTCTCAAGAATACGCGCCAATCTGAAACGTTACAACCATGTCTACATACTCTCATCTAAACACACCTATCGACCAATCAGAGCGCGCGTAGTATCTCGGTTATTTTACGAATATGGATTGCTGACAAAGCATGAGGTAAAGATGGCTGACTATAGGCCAGGTTCTTTTTTGCGTACCTGAATACGCATAAACACGCCAAAAAAACGAGGCTAATATCCAGCCATCTTGACCGAACAAGCTTGGTCCATAAAGAATTTGTTCAGCATATGTGATATTAAAGAAACAATTTTTAATGCGGGACATAACGGGTAATCCCGAACGGGCAAGATAGCGCCATCTTGAAAGTGAAGAATGATCAGTGCAGTAATTTTCCAATTTAAGCAATTCCCGTGAGGAGTGAAATGATGTGAAGTATAAATGAAATAATTCATATTTGAACTGCGGTTGTAGATGAAAGTGAAGACTGATCATCCCAGTAAATTTTCCAATGTAAGCAATTGGAAAGAAGAAGCCTGAAAAAATCAGGGCTTCAACGGGATTCGAACCCGTGACCTCCGCGATACCAGTGCAATGCTCTACCAACTGAGCTATGAAGCCACACATTGGGAGTGAGGTCAATTAATTATTGGGAGGTATAACAAAGCTTATAATGACCTTTTGTTCCAGATTATTGGCATCGGCGGAGTCCGCCATCAAATGAAAGTGTTGGGAATCGGCGGACTCGACCGAACACACTATTTACTAAATATAGCACTATTAACGTCATTTTAAAGCTTGTCTCATATTCCATCGGCCCTTCCTGGTTTATTTTTTATATAAGAACATCGGCATGTCAGATTAAAAAACAGTTTATGACGCCTTCCCTGGTGGCAAGGCGAAGAACCCTAGTGAGAGTATGTAAGGAATGCTAGGAAAATTTCCTAACATTTCTCTGCAGTACTTACAGTAGAAGCCCTGTACATCCCGTCATGTGAGTCACAGGGTTCTCGGTAGAACGGCGGAATTCCACCGGCTGTAAAATCGGCTGCCATCCGGTCTGCGTTTTACAGAGCCGGCCTTTCCGCTTTGTCCTCAAAGCGGCACTCCCTAAAAGCCTGATAAAGTCAATAAAATGTTCGGCTTCTTTCTGAAAGCTCTACTTGTTGAAAGCCAAGTTAGATATATTGGGTTTGTTGTAACTTGACGCCACATTTCTGAAACTCCGTAATAATTCCTCAAGTTAAAACAATGAAAATCACAACAGTGAAGGAGGTTTTAATTTGTCATCCGGTCTTATAATAAGCATAGATTTTGACTATTTCACTTCTCCGTTTACCCCTTAGTTTTTGTTTCGATTGAAAAGATATATCAAACACCAGAGACAGTGTTTCATCGGCAATCCAAATTACCTCGATGCGCGTCGTATTTTCAACTCTTCATCCCGATGAAACACTGTCTCTCGTCTTTGATATATGACATGAAAAACCCACGCGAAGCGGCAACGGATGCCAGGATTCATTTGTGACGTGCTGACAATCACAGAACTGACCAGAGGCAAGTCTGAGAAGTGTATTTTCAAATTATCAAACTTTTCCATTACTTCATCTGTTGAAAGTCTACAATAAGAACATGTTAACTTGCGGGAAAGCAAAAGGGAAAAAAAATATTTTTGCCCTGCAAAAGTAGTCTTTATTTCCTGTAGAATTCTGGAAGGCCTTTGGAAATTCTTGTACAAGCCGAAAAAAGCGTGCTTATTATATTCTAGCCTGCAAAAAAACTACACTAGAGAAACTTTGAGGCATATTAAAGGTTCTTACTGTCACCTGCATGTTGGTTTACCCAAAGTTCTCGAGCGTCTACATCAGGCCAATGATATACCTACTCATAAAATTTAAATAAGTGGCAGCCGATTTCTATATGCCAAGTAAACCCAGCAAAATGCAATGATACTTCATGACGGTGTATATACAATGCCGTAATCATAACGATCGCCTAACCAGTCAGAGCGTGCGTTCTATGATCAGCATTTTACTAACGCGGTTTAAATCAAAATTACTGTACAATGTAAAACAAGCAATGTTATTGCTTCTCACGGGGTATGAGCTATCCAAGAAGATAGAGAGGACTGTTTGCGAAAACATTAATACAAAAACCGAAAAACTTCTTCTGATTCACTTCGTCCAGGACGCAAAAAAAAACTTTTTTCCGTCCTGCTTCCTCTGATGCAACCCCCGCCTTTTACATTCCTGAATGACAAAGTCGAAAATGTAATGAGCCTTGCAAACACACGTTAAATGGAAACATGCATACAGCAGAAAGCTCTTCTTATTGTGAAATACCCTTATTTGAAAACCATTAATGAATAGAGTAATTGTCCAACATGAAAACTATGGAGTCATACTAGTCATAGTTCTGAAACCCTCTGGCCATTAAATGTTACTTTCCATCATTTGCATTTCCTCCCTCACTGGAGTTGTTATGACCACTTGTACCCTGGCTTGGATTAACATAATAGGCGTGACTTGGAACTTATTTGCCAGAAGGCGTGCTGTAGGAGACTGGAGCAAGCTGAGCAAGCCGCACCATCATTTCCAACATACGTAACTCGTGTTGACGGTTTAGCTTACACTGCCCCTCGTAAAACTTCATAAATGCCTCATCCCTTGATTTCCCTTCTTTGATCATCAACGTAGTGAGGTGACGCAA